TCATCAAATCCGCCAAACCTTGAATGAGCGTGTGGATGTTTATGGTCCAGTGATGGTCTTGACCGCAATCTTTCGGATCTTCTCGGAATGGAAACTTCAGACTCTTCAAAGGTTGTGTGCTCTACAGATACGTTTTGTTCAGATACCACAAGATCATCTACAAAGGACTCATTAGTATCCGAAACGGCAGGAGTGCCGTTAACAGACTGACCTCTGGCATTGAACTCAACCTGGTCAATGTGTCTCCGATGACAAGAGATCATCCAAATCGAAAATTGTGACCATTCGTTTGCCATTCAATGAAAGTACTATTCCTGTAGCGGGTCGTAAATCATTACCCAGCATGACAAGCTTGCAAGGGATTTCATTTTACCGACACCCAGGTGACCGGAGTGTGAATCTGCAAGATCAGCCACTCGCTGAGTCGGTGGAATGACAACCCTATCCTCAAAACACAGCTAACCATCCGGAGTAACGGATAAGCTTTCGCGGCGACAGTAAAAAGTAGGAAACCGGCGTCGTTCTTGCTGTGTCCAACCACGTCGCAGTGCAGAGAAAATGGGAGCGGAATATCTTTTAGTGCCAGCAACAAGCACATCCCGCTTGACTGGTAATGGTTGAATCAACAGATAATCTAAATTGCTTGAATCAGAGTCGCATGATGGAATTCTTGAAAAGAAATCAATATGAGGAATCATTTTTGCACTACGATGAACTTGTGTAGGTGTAAGAACTCAGTGCAATAATCCACCGTTGTAACATCGCGGTAGATGACTTCGCCAGAGACTCTGTTGGAGGATACAAGAACTCCAAAGCCTTGTGATCAGTAGCAACGGTAAAGTTGGGTCCAAAAAGATATTCGTTTACCAGCCCAATATACAGCATGTGCTTCTCGTTGAGTCTGAGAATATCCATGTTCGGCTTTTGAAAGTCGACTCGAAATGCAGATCACTGGTCTACCACACTGTTCAAGGATCTCCCCTATTCCGGTGTGAGAAGCATCAGTGATGATCGTCGAATGATGTTTGGCGGAAAACGGATTCAAAAGAGTTGAATTTGAAGATAACCGAGCAGTGCACGCAACGTCTTCTCATAGTTGGAGGGCCAAGAAAATTGATTACTGATTGATTATTGATTGAGGAAAACTGGAGTGCTCCTAGAACTGGACGCAGTTGTAGATTGGTTGGTGATGGCGCGTTTACTAAAGGGAATAGACATTTTCTATCAGGTTCAGCACCGCTACCATCCACAATGTAGCCAAGGCATGAAAATGATGGGACATCAAAAGTGTATTTATCAGGATGAATCTCTCCATTGAACTCAGAAAATCGCTTCAGTAAAGACAACAGACACATATCATGGGTAGCTTTGTCAGCAGCGTGCACAATGACGTCATCTTTGTACGTCCCAGCACCCTCCAAATCTTTTGCAATAGTATTCATAACTTGCCGAAATAAAGCTGGTGAAACGTTCAGACCAAAGGAAAGGAAATTGTGCCGGAAAAACCCAAAAGGATGTGCTGATCACGGTAAGGTTACTAGAGGCTTCTTCCAGTGGTATTTGAAGATAAGCATCTTTTAGATCGATTTTTGAAAACACACTTGAACCTGATAAACGATATAGTACATCTTCTGGCTCTTCAGTGGTGCATGTACGATTTGGCTTACGTATTTGGCGTAAGCCGGTAGTCACCACAAATTCTCGGAGGAATACCATCAGCCTTCACTGAGGTAACTATCAGAGTTGCTCAATTTGAGGATTCGACAGGAGTCAGTATTCCTTTCGCACACATTGAATTTAATGCTTGACGAACAGGATCGGGTAAGCCAAATGGAATAATCCGTCTCTTAAGAAATATAGGGTCTCCTGTAACTTCGAGCATCACCTTGGGGATTTGCATGCCACCTGTAGCCTTAGAACATTTCAGAATCAGTTGGTTGAGTTCATCCTCATTCACAGAAGTCAGTAAGGTTATACGGGTTTGCAGTAAGCGTAAAACTTTGGGTCCAATAATCGACGGTCCCGACGTTGAAACCAAGAAATTACAACCGATAGAGGTACCTTAGGGTAACCGCGCAGGGACCGTGCAACTACCAACTAAAGGTACAGAATGTCCAGTGAAACCGCGAATATTAACGTCTGTGGGGACTATCACGGCACTGGGGTAGAATGCACTTAGATCTGATTGTGGAATGATGGACTCAACACTACCAGTATCAACAATAAAGTCATGCTTTTGACCAGGAGCGGATATCAACGTTCTAAAAACTTGTGACGAATTTCGGGAAAAAACAGACAGAGAAAGGGTAGAAATGTCTTCTGATAATACTTTCACGTCATTGTTTGGGTAAGAAGTTAAGAGACACTGTAAGATGCGGACGGCTAAGGATCTCACAGGACGATTGCGACTATTGGATTATACGCAGTTCGTAGCCAGTAGTCAATAGGATCAGACAGACGTGGGGCAGCAGATGACATATTGAAGACTGACAGGAACTGGTTCTACAGAAAAACGGGTTAGTAAGCATCATGAATTAAGAAAACGTACAATCAACAATGACGCAATTTGCAGGAGCGGGAAGTGGTCACTGTCACAGCACGGATTTATATCGGGGCAGTCTGACAGTGTGAGTTGGCGCTTCAAACTGGGTTCTAGAAGGAGCGTGGACAACCGTCGGAGGAAGGCCATTCCACGCAGCTACTACCCGAAATGAGAAACAATTTTGTCTAATGAATGTGTGTGCTCTGAGCTTGAAAATTTTCTTACTATGTCCCCGCCGTGTGTTTGCTGGGTCAACGGTAGAAAAAACCTGTTTGCCAATCTTTGTTCAAACAGGGCATAAGTAAGAATTAGGTCCCCTCGGAGGCGACGGTACTCCAGGGGAAAGAGATCAAGCATCGCGAGACGCGTTTCGTAGTCCACGGATTTGAGGCCGGTGCCATTCTCGTGGCGGCTCACTGGACGCAGTCGATGAGGGCGGCGTCTTTCGTGCATCCTGACTATTTTAAAGAGAACGCTTATTAGTGAGTCTGTTACACCTGACCTCTTAATTATTGTACACTCATTCTGGCGTTATTATTTTTCTTCCTTTGCCACACACTCCTGGAAAAGTAACTTATTGGGTAGCCAGACCACTACAAATTTGGTGAGCTCGAGTATATCTAGATATTTTTTTGAAACTTTTTCATTCAAGTCGTCGTAATTTATTTTTTTGCCCGTTGATTATGGAGGCACATTTTGTTTCATCGGATTTAGTCGAGAATGCAATGAGCATACGTCTACCAGGCCAAGATCCGCGCAATCCAAAGGTAAGGTTTCACCACGTCGAAGCTGTTTTTGCCACCCGACGTACCACTTCCCAAGCCACCCGCTTTTCCTGTGTCGTCCAGCATCTTTCTAGTGATGTAGCAACAGAAGTAGATCTGCTTTGTGATGTTCTGCACACGCTATATCGAGTGCGTGGCAATGTTTCACCTTGACTTCCTGAAACCTTAAGAGTGCCATGATAATAATCAGCGGATTTATGGTCAGAAGCATCGGGTCGTACAACAAAATGGCCTGGAGTTTGGGAAAATTTCAGTGGATGGGGTTATTCTTCCAGGTGCATGAAGTTTTTTTAATTATAAGAATCAAGCTCATGCCACTCGGTCTCGCGACGGACTCGCGTACACCCTTCTTTGGTCTTAACCTTGCTCCGTCCACAAAGACACGTGGTCACTAGATCTTGCTCTGACATTATCGTCGTAAAAAGGATCACTCATTATCACCGGTAGGACTAATTGACCAAGTGGTATGTTTACCTTTACAGCAGAAAAACCTCAGCTTCAGCGCAGACACCGATCGGGTGCTGTTGACAGCAGGATGTATTAAACACTTGGTGAGCTAGCCTATGAAACTTTTTTAGTTGTTTTTTCAATTATGTTAGGGCAAATTCACATAAGGTGTGATGGATTCTACATTTTTCATTCCAGAAAAGCTCTCGAGTGAAAATGGCTTCCGGAGAACGGGAACTGGCTTAACTGCAAACTACGATCGCACATATGCAAACCATAAATAAAAATTCTCCGATGGTAGTTGTATATTTTTCAGAATAAGGTTTGTCAGACCGACCGCCGTTGAGTGATGGATTAGGCTACCGTGCACAGTTTAGGGCTCGCCCAAGGTTTGACTGTGACTGCCGGCGTACCATTCAGTACACTCGAAATACTTCCGAAAACGCAGATTCTAGTGCTGCTCGGAAGGCATCCGCTGTGCGTTGCTGCACCAAGAGTGAGACAGTAACGTATCACGTTATTCACCCTCGGTTCACGCAGGTCCTGTGCAGCCAAATGGTCAGTGTGTTGAGCCATCAGCTCAGGAAATTCCTAAAATCTAATGCTCCACGGTTCAGAAGCTTAAGACTAATGCAAGTGGTAGGGATCGGAGCGAAACCTATATACACCAACTGCTATAGGCGTCAGACTTGGGACTCAAAGTTTAAAGGAAGGGGACCTCAAGTAAGCCAAATTCCCCGGCAAGAGCAACCAAGAAATATAAGTTACACTCACTTGATCCGGATCACCAAACTACTGCGCTCCCTCAGCATCCAACAAAAACTACAGCGAAAAAATAGCATGTAAGTCCAAAAGCCACACCTTCGTGAGTAAATATTCGCACAACTGCGTCTTTCCGCACGCGAGTGTCCAAGTCGGAAGATCAACTCAGGAGGAAGTACTGACTAGTGGTGGATTTGGAGTCGGTTATGTCGGAAGATTCAGGAGGAAGTACTGACTAGTGGTGGATTTGGAGTCGGTTATCGATGGAGAGCCTCAGTTAAGGGTTGTCGTTCCTTCTTTCTAACGCAACTTGACTCTGACAGCGCGGTCGTGCAGGTCCCGTTAGCACTTCGCTTTCTGCCGCTTGCCAAAGCAGAACAGCTCCGTTCACCAACCTTGACTGGTTTCAACAGCTGAGGAGTATCGAGCTGATCTGGTTAGAAAGCTACTAAAAACGCACAGCCATGCGGAGGACGAAGATTGCTAGGAGTTTGAATGGAGAAGAGTTAAAGAAGCAATGCTCTCGACTTTCAGTTGTTTGTCCAGATCATCTGACTCGACGAAATGAACACTAGATATCGTAGAGATCAGTATGTCTTATTACTGCCAGAAAGGCCATACCGGCCACGAGCGGATATGATGGTGCATGCAGATCCCTTAAACACCGGATAATCAGAGGCTTGAAGAATGATAGAGAGCGCTGCTGGATTCAGAAGGCCCAGGAGACGGAGGAGGCAATGGCCGCGCCCCGTTTCAACCAGCCGGTCAAAAGAAGGCAGGTGTCAGCGAAACAATACGCGAAAAAGACCCAATGGCAATTTAATCCCTCAATCGTCTTGAGTGGTGGGCTGAGCACCTCAAGGAGCGGTTCCATTGGTCTCTTTCAACACAACCGCCGGAAGAACCTGAATGGAACATTGACACCAACTCGCCATCAGCAGCCGGAATCCAGTGTGGGATATCAATATCGAAATGCGGCAAGACATCAAGTCCGGATGGTCTGCACCACACGCTCATCAACTAAGGTGGCGAGGCCCTGGCGAACAGTGTGGGACCATACTGCAAAAGATTTGGGACGAAAACAGAACACTAACCGAATGGAG